AACACCAAACACTGAACCCTAAACCGTTTAGCCTAAACCCTAAAAACTAAACCCTAACCTGAAACCCTTTTGGGGGAGGAAGGCTCCGTGCAGAAGCCCGAAACCTTGTGAAGACAGCCAGAACACCTGTCGGATCCTGCCGGACCTTTCACGTTATCTTCTTATGCCTAGGGGCCCTCCCTCCTCAACCCCCCTAAACACCCCAAACCCCCTAAACCCCTAAACCCGAAAGGCTCACCTGGTTTCGAACAAGCAGGAATCCGGCTCCTGAATTTCCGCTGTTGGCGGCACCTTGCCCATGACCTGATGCAAGCGTTGGGTTCAGGGTTTAGTGTTTTGGGGCTCTTAAACACCAGACCCTCAACCCTAAATCCTTTAAGATGAAGGGTTTCAGGAACTAACAAGGCCTTTGGGTAACTAGCCCTAAACCCTAAACCCCAAACTCTAACATTAGGCCTTCGGGTTCAGGGGGCTTCAGGGCACAATTGCCTGAGAGGTGCTACAGCTTGCCAGCTCAATCCTTACCAGGAGTCTCAGTCCTGGACCCGGGAGTCACCTGGGAATAAAAAGGGTGCCCTTTTTGGTTTGAAGGGGATTATAAGGGAACCCCAACCCTAAAAAAAGGAAAAAAGGACCTACTCCCGGTCCTAGAGTCTTAGCACAGGCATCGGACCCACTCGAGCCGCTCAGAATGCCGGCAGACCTCCGAACGCTTTCTGGTGCTTGACCTTCGCGCAGCCCCTCCTTCCTCTCTTCGGCGAAGTTGATCCTAAACCCTAAACCCTAAACCCTAAACCCTAAACCTTAGACCCTAAACCCTGGCTTGCGACACATCCACACAATATCCATGGGTGCCACTGATCTGTCTGTGCCGATTCGGCTGCAGCTCCAGCAAGCAGTCGTCCATGACTACACCCAACTCAGCAACTAGGTTCCTTAGTTGCTGAGTTCATAAGCCCCCAAAAAGTGTACACTTTCAGTTCTGGAGGGGATTATGGTATCCCAAAAAGTGTAAAGTGTACTCACTCAGCTAATAAGGTTCTGAAACGTAAGCCAGGCATAAATCATGACACCCGTGTATGTTAGTGGGGCTTGTGAGGGAGCCTAACCTAAAGAGAGAAGGAAGAGTACCATTGAACACAATCGTCGCGGGAGCCATCGCAGCTTTCTGCAGGGTTTAGGGACTTTAGGAGTTTAGGAGGAAGCTTCAAGCCCTAAATCCTCAACCCTACGAGCGGCGGGAAGTCAGTGCTGCAGCAAAATCTGGAAGGCACCCTTCAGATTTTTGACGACCCTAGGCTGGCACCCCTCCGCTAAACCCTAAACCCTATAAACCCTTACAAAAAGAAAACCTCGAAATCCGATGTCTAGAGGCCAAAACATGAATAGCCCTAATAGTCCTAAGGCCCGGAACGGAAGGTTTCGGCCCAATTAAGGTTTCGACCTTAAAGGTATCGGCCTGAGGGTTCAAAGCAATCCCCCAAATCCTAATCTTTGGGTGGTTAAGATTCCTTCAATGGTCAGCTCTCTACCTGATGGTCCCTTTTTGGGTACCCTAAATACGAGGGGCCACCCAACGAACGGCCATGCTCATTGGCAATTCAGGTGCCCGTGGCAGCTGGTGGGCAGAAAAAGAGAGGGAAACCCTAAACCCTAAACCCTAAACCCTGAACCCTAAACCCTAAACCCTAAACCCTAAACCCTAATCCCTAAACCCTAAGGAGGGAGAGAGAGGGAGAGAGAGAGCGAGCTTGGAGGGTCAGGGTACCTGGCAACCCAATGATAGGTGAAGTTATAAGCCACTTCTAGGCCCCTTAAGTACCCTCATAGGGTGATAACTGGGATATAAGTACAGTTATAACTGGATGACTAAGAACCATGAACCTCCGAGAGGAGGAAAGTGACCACGTACCCCCATTAAGGTACACCTATAGACCCTTGTCAAGGGGGGGTACATGGAAGGTCCAGGTCAAACAGAACTCCGAGCCTGAACCGTTAACTTCTCATTTGTGTGCGGCTGCTTCGGCGAAAGCCTCAGGTTTCAGGTGTTTCGGGTTTCGCTGGAGAGGAGTGGCGCGCAAAAAACGACCATGGGTTGTCTGTTATGTCCTGCAGGGAGTTTGGCCCACACAAAGAACAACATGTTAAGGATTTTGGCGAGTTTGCGGGTTGAGAAGCTTCAGATTAAAAGGCATTGGCTTGGGGTCTAGATAGAGGGAATGCTCCCCTGCACAAGATGCAGCGCACGCCCCGCTGCTCTAGACATGGGCCTTCCATAAGCCCGGCCGCCTAGATTATGAGTTCGTTGGGGTTTGCGCGGGATCACAAGCATTTGAAGGCGGCTCCCTACCAGGAATCCTCAATGGGCTAAAGCGGCTAAAGCGGCTAAAGCAGCCACAAATTCTCAACCGTAAGCACGAAACCCTGAACAGAATGACGAGTGGTAGGGAAAGGGCATCTCGACACCCAAGTCCAACGTGTCTACATGCAACAAAACTTGCAGGTTTCTGGTTCATAGGCTTTAGGGTGTGAAGGTTAAGGGGGCCCTAGATGGGAACAATTCCCACATGCTAGCCAGGCCTTACCTTGCTTGCATGGGGTAAATGAGAATCACATGCCCTTTCTCATAAATGCTACGGTTGCCTCCGAAATGGGGGGGGTTTAGGTTTTACAGTCCGACCCCACATGTGTCTTCTGCAGCAAGGCGGCGAGACAAGGTCTACCTCAGATGGTGTCGAGGCCTTCCTACCTTCTGTGGTGGGCCAACTCTACACCCTAAAGCAGCAACCCGAAGACCAAAGGCTAGAGCCAAACCAAGAAATTCTTTTTAGGGTTTAGGGTTTAGGGTTTAGGGTTTAGGGTTTAGGGTTTAGGGTTTAAAACCCGAAACCCTAAACCCAAAGTCTGCCAACCCGAGGTCCTTTTCAGACTACTCGAACACTCTGAACCCCAAGGGTGTAACGTTTAGGGATTAGGGATTAGGGATTAGGGTGGAGGGTTTAGGGTTTAGGGTTTAGGGTTTAGGGTTGAAAATTCAAAAAAATCCCAAGTCCCGGGTTTAGGGTGCAAACTCAGAAAGCCCGTGAGGGCTTAGGGTTTACGTTTTTTGTCTACAAAAAACGAAACCCTGAGATTCACGGCTTAAACTCCAAAAGATGCCCAAGCCCTCAAGGGAGCGCACTAATCCCAAAACACCTTGAAGCCGAGTTAGGGTTTAGGGTTTGGTGTTTAGGGGTGTAGGGCGTGTAGGGTTTACAGTAGCGTGTTTAGTGGTTTAGAACTGGGTTCTTAATGACCTGCGTAAAAAAGAGGCGCACTTTTTTGGTTTAATTCGGTTTTAACAAGGGAGCTCAATCCCCAACAAAGGGAACGAGGGTCTTGGCAGCCCAGTAGCCAAATTATATAGAACCAGGGGCTTTGATTATGGTTTATGGTTTCGGGTTTAGGGTTCAGGGTTTACCCTTTTGGGGGGTTTGTTGCTTTGACGGTTTTGCATTGTAAGGGAACCTAGAACCAACCAAAATGCAAAAATGTAGCGCTGGGCTATGAAGGGTACTGCTGGGCCTACTACCCGCGAGGCTGCCAAGAGGCTGCAATGTCTTCACTGGGCCCACATAAAGCAGGCGCCTCTTCTGGTGGACTGTTTACGGTTTGAAGGATTGAGGGCTTAAGGTTTGGGAAGTAAGGTTTTTGGTTTGGGAATGAGGTTAGCAAGGGTCTATGGCTCAACCCTCAAGTGCTTGAAGCCCGAACCCCGCTAAGCCCGAAACATTTGGTGCACAACCCCAAATCTCCAGCGCCAACCTCACACCCCAAATCCTAAGCTCTACACACCACAAGCCCGAAACCCTAAACCCTAAACCCTACACCCTCAACTCCTGGGCCCTAGATGAACCCCCCCCCCCCCCCCCCCCCTTTTCGTAGACTTGCGTCCCAACCCCCAAAACCGTGAAGCGCTCTCTCAACTGGCAGGATGCAGGGGTAAGGTTTCCGCCGAGTTGGAAAGGGAAGCCCTAAACCTGTCTAGTCAGTTCTCAAAATCACGGCCCCTTTTTGGGTAGCCCAAACAGTAGGGGCCGCCTTCATTATAACAAGGGCCCAAAAGGCCAAAAGGGGACATCGTTTTGGAGAAGTGACCATTTATCTTCCTCTATTTGAGTGGGAAGCCCTGAGGGGGAGATCTTATGAATGTTGAGCCTGCTTTGGGAAGTTTAGGTAAGTTTAGGCTGAGAGAGCCATCGGAGCAATCGGCTCAGGATTTTTGTCTGCGAGTTTGGGCTTTAGGTAGTTTGGGATTTTGGGTAAAAGCTTTAGGGTGTAAAGTTTAGGGTTTAGGCTTGAGCTGCGCACAAAGAAGCTACCATTCGCACAACTCCAGGCAAGCAAAAAAAAAAACAAAACGGCAACAGCCACAACCGCAACCGCAACTAGCCACAAAGAATTACACAAAAGCCCCGAAACCCGAAGCCCGAAGCCCGAAACCGGGGGGATTTACATCTCCACAGAAACACTCAAAATGAATTCTCTCGTTGACCACACAGCCCCTGGCCTTCTCAGCCCGCAAAACGTGCCAAAGAAGAGCCTCTGGAGCAGAGGATTATATAATTATATATAGTAATGGGTTTATGAGGTCTGTCGGTCTTACGGCAGGTTACGGGTTTGGTTTAGGGGTATTTTGGGTTCGGGAGGGGGGGGGGGGGAGTCTCGGGGCCAGGGGCCTAAGTTCTGACTTGACGACAAGCTCAATGTCTCGGGTTGCGACACGCAAAAAGACATGTCAATCAAGTCCCCTGGAATCGATCCAGAAAAAGGGCAACTCAAGCGCGTAAAAACCAGCCAAGCACCATAATGGCAGCGATGAATCACTCTGCATTTTCCGTCGAGCCTTAGTACAGAAACCTCCGCCCTGGAAACAGCCAAGCTTTATGGCTGTCCATGGTCCATGAAGGTTGCTGTCCTTTGCTTTACCGAATTTACGACCTCCAGCTTTCCTAGCTGCATCATCGAATCTCAGATCGCACATCGTGGTACTTCCGCAGAAACTCGTCGCCTACAGAGTCCCTCTGCAGACGATGGACGACTTGGGCTGCCCCAGGAGAAAATTCAAATAAATTGGCCATAGCTGTCACTTTGTGGGTAGCTTCGCGCTGGAATTCCTTATAGCACCACACATGTCGGTGATCCAAGGTAATGAGGTCGGTTCCCAGTTTCAAGACTGTCAGCGGAGGCAGATCAGTCGGCTTGATTCGATTGCATCGAAGACTTTCCAGCAACTCTTTCATAGAACTTCCATCGCGAAAACGCATGTTCCGATTCAGACTTCGTTGGCAGTATGTCAACCCCTTGAACTTGATGTCGTTGCCCAACTCTTCCGCCTCGACTTTGATGCCTGTGGCTCTTGAGGCCAAGTCACCTATGCATGCACAAAGCTTGGCCGCAACGTGTTCCCCGACTTCGTCGATACTGAACTCGTAGTCGTAACTCGCAAAGGCCATGGTCAACAACGTTGGCATGTCCAACTCCACGTCGGTGCGAGGCGGCAGTGGACCCCGGGGGCTACGGGACCTGCCGCGCTCTCCATGTCGGTGCCAGGCGGCACCGGACCCCGCGCTGCGGGACCCCTCGTGATGCGAGCTGGCATGCTGCAGCGCACGGCCACACTTTTCACAAAGCATTGTTCTTGTGGGCACATGCAGAGCAAATTGAGCCAGAGCCTGGGGCATGTTTTTGTGGAGCTGGGGCTGCGGTTGTCGAGGATGTGTCGGGTTTCTCGGCAACTATGTAGCTTTGGACCAGTTGCTGGATGCTTGATGCTTGGTCGTTGTTGAATTTACCGTCCTTCTTGCCTTCGTCTACCCAGGACTCCAAGTTCCATGTCGGATTGCTCAGCGTGCCCTTCTTCGGATCGCCGCCGTCCCTCACGTATTTCTCAACGCACGCCCTGCAGCCGTCGTAGGCAGCATGCAAGGCCGTGTAGTGCTTGATGCCTGCTTCATCTATGCCTGGATGGCGCTTCATCAGCTTGTTGAGTGACTTTGTGGACATCTGCAAGCATGGAGCGTTCCCATGGCTGGCACGAGAAGAGTCCATGGTGCCGCGGTGCTGTGCAAGCAGGGTAACAGCATCTTTGTGTGTGGGTGTGCAAATGCTAACCGTGAGAACAATGATTTAAGAATTTCGACAGCGAAGCACCACTTGCTTGGACAGAGCGAGAACTCTCAGAACGCATCCTAAACCCTAAACCCTACACCCTAAACCCCAAACCCTAAAAAACAAACCCTATAAACCATCAACCTTGACCCTGAAACCCCTACAGGATAAACCCTAAACTCCCACACTCTCAAGCCCAAAACAACCCGGAACGACCCTAAACCCCAAATCGCAAAGCCCTATTTCTAAGCACCCAGAGCCAGGTACCCCATAACTATATTTAGGTTTAGAGCTTTTGGGCTAGGGTTTAGGGCTTAGGGACGCCTCACCAAAACTTACTGAACTATTGCCCTTCGAACAGCTTCAGTCTCCAAGCCACTTGCGCAGCCTAAACGCCGAACCCTAAACTCCAAACCCTGACTCAGATTTGACAGGAACCCCAAACCCTAAACTCTCTAAACCTCAAACAGCAGAAAGCAAGAAGGACCCCAACCATAGACCCAGTGACCGATCAAGCCCCAACACCCCACTCAACAAACCCTAAACTGTTATAAACCCGAGAACCTAAACCCCGTAAGTCCTAAAACCCTAAACCCTAAAACCCTAAAACCCTAAACCCTAAACCCTCAACCCTCAACCCTCAAACCCCTAAACCCTAAACCCTAAACCCTAAACCCTAAACCCTAAACCCTAAACCTTGAGCTGAGCTTTGCACGTGAAAGAGCCAGCGGAAGCCCGGCATTTGGTTGGAAAAATGCTGGGTGAGGGGGGCCGCAGTGAAACGGTTCGGAACCCGAGGGAGCCGTTTAGGGTTTAGGGTTAAGGGTTTGGAGTTTAGAGTTTAGGGTTTAGGGGTTAGAGTCTAGGGTTTAGGGCTTACGGTTGCACGTACGGTTGCACATCTAAATACGGACACCTAATCAACGTAAACCCCAAACCCTCAGCCACTTCTTTTAAAAGGGCCCTACTCAACCCTGAAACTGGGCGCCAAGGTGTCGTGCGGATTCAGGGCTAACCCTAAACCCTAAACCCTAAGCCCTAAACCCTAAACCCTAAACCCTAAACCCTAAACCCTAAACCCTAAACCCTAAACCTACTGAGGATTCAGGGTTTAGGGTACTTAGGGTATTCAAGGCAAGGCGTAGGCTTCAGGGTCTTGAGGGTTCAGGGTACCTAGGCTTCAGGGTATTTGGGGCTTAGGATTTGAGCTGGGTTTAGGGTTTAGGATTTAGGGTTTAGGGTTTAGGGTTTAGGATTTAGGGTTTAGGGTTTAGGATTTAGGGTTTAGGGTTTAGGGTTTAGGATTTAGGGAAGTCCATGAGAAGGCATATCGGATCCCCCTGGCAGTTTCCGAAGCTCCGCTGGCTGGCTCTCGGAGTACCGAAGCCCAGCGCAGAGGAGTGAGACGGGCCGGTAGCGCAGACTGAACAGAGCCCTAAACCTAAAACCCTAAACCCTAAACCCTAAACCCCTTATAAACCCTTAGCCCCAAACCTCTGAAGCCTCTAACACCAGGGGGTGGGCGGAGGCCAACGTCTGTCATGTAAGCGTCTGCAAGGAAAGCCGCGCCGACTCCATGTGAGCCCAAGAAATGCCGATTCCTAGCACTACGTTGAGGGGATGACTGGAAACACTGCCAGGAATCTATAACCTTCTAACCCGAAGCTAACAGAGAGACTTCGTTCCGAAGCCCCGGGCTTTGCGGCGGCCTTTGAGCAAGAGTGGAGACAGCAGGCGCCGAAACACGGATGTTGAAGGTTTAGGGTCTGGGTGTATATACAGGGATTAGGGATTATGGGGTGTAGGGTTCAGGGTTGAAATGCTACCCACCCACCCGGCCCCGGCACCCTACGCAAGGTGCCCTTGTAAAGAAGCGCGACTACCCAACCCTCGGCCTTAAGGACGGGCACCTTAGGGTGGAGTGTGTTTGTTTGTGTGGTGAGTTTTTCTGAGCATTTCAAGCTGCTAGAAGGCCAGATTTGGGATGTGTCCTCCTTATACTAACCGTCCTTAGTAGGAATTCTCATAAGGGGGTACGGTAATCCCGATTAAGGAGTAGTATAAGGGGGAACATCCCAAGGCCAACGCCTGAAGCCATCCGGCCTGCAAGTTGCCGGGTTTTTTTCAACTCGGGAGCCTGCCTGATACTTAAAGATGTGCTGAGGGGGGGGGGGTTGCTTCAGAGGGCGAGCGAGACCGCTCCTCATTTTTTGCTTGGTTTGTTTGTTTGTTTGTGTGTGTGTGTGTGTGTGTGTGTGTGGCTGGCTGGCTGTGTGGGTGCCTACTGCGTGCAGCCTCCGAGTCTGTTGTGCGCTGAGGGTCCATGGGTGGGAGCGCCGTGTCGAGGAAGCTTGGAAGGGTTGACGGTTTCGGGTTAGTGATTCGGGTTTAGGGACAAGGGAAGGGGGGGGGGGGGGTGGAGTGGTATGGTATGTTGTCGCGCTTGATCGGTTTAAGGGTAAAAGGATTGACTTCATTCATCTTGGCCTCAGAATCCCTGGCCCTGAAACCGGAAGAGACCTGAACCTTATAAATCCTTGAGGCCTAAGGTTAAATCCTGCAGCGTATCCCCCTCCCCCCCCCCCCCCCAAACAAAAAACATATGCCCTTACATTTTAGGGGTTTTTAATATGGCCTGGAGGGGTGCAGGTGGCAGGACTGTAATTTATCAGGACTGGAGTACCGGCTCAGGAGACATTCATTGACTGCCTCGGGCTTCACCCGCGCAACAAAGTCCGTAAAGGGGTTCGAATGAGAGGTTGAGGGAGAAGCCGGCTTGTGTAGGTGTATATCTGGTAGACATAACATGGCCTCTGTATTTCGTGGCGTAGGAAGTGTTTAGATCAGGGAACCCTAAACCAAACAAAACAAGAAGCGGGCAGAAACCCCTGACCTCTGCAGAAGTCCGGCCATTCGCTGTAAAGGGATGGTGGGCAGAAGCAACGCCTCTACAGCCGCCTGCAATATGGGCCCAGAGTTTGGGGTTCAGGCTTTTCTGAACCATGGTTGGGATGGTATCAAAATGTAATTGTCTATTCCTTACGGGGCTTACGTACCCTACAAAATGTAAAATGTTACCCCACTATGACAAAGACTAGGGTTTCGTGCTCAGGGCTCATGAGACTCCATACCCTGAGCCCCTGAACTCCCAGAATCTATACGCTACACGCCCCAAAGTGTGTCCACTTGCTGCTCTTGGAAAGCATAGGGTTTGGGGTTTAGGGTTTAGGGTTTAGGGTTTCGGGTTTAGGGTTTAGGGGTACATGAATCCCAGATGGCCAGCCCTGAACCCAAACGTCGGAATCCTGCAGCACTGAAGCCACGAAGCCCTGACCTACCCTGGACCCCTGGGAACGACGCTGGACCCCAAACCCGAGCTACCAACAAAAACCCTCGACTCTAAACCCTGAATCCCAAACTCCTAAACCTTAAACCAAAGTCCTCGACTCTAACCCCTCAACCCTTAATCCTAAAACCACCCTAAACCCTAAACCCTAAACCCTAAACCCTAAACCCTAAACCCTAAACCCTAAACCCCAGGTTGGGGTTGGACCCTGAAGCCGAGGGCCCCAACCGGGGGCGGCTTCTCCCCAGTCCTCGGCCCAGTGTGGATTGAAGTTGGCATGTTCCCACTTATACTAACAATCCTTAGTAGGGATTATCGCACCCCCTATTCGAATAGGGTTTTGGGTTTAGGGTTTAGGGTTTAGGGCAATCCCTATTAAGGACTGTTAAACTGTTAGTAGAAGCGGGGAACATCCCAAGATTTAAGGCTCTCGGAATCAGCCCTTGCTAGGGCCCTCACTTCGGGGTCTGGGCAGCAGGACATCAGGTCTTCGGGCTCTTACCTGTCTGCAAAAGAGTCGGTTCTCAACCCGGCACCCCAAAAAGAATGTAGCTACTGTGGACCCTAGGTTATAGCATTACATTATTTAGGGTACTTCTCGCCCTGCTGAGAAGCACCCATGAACCTTCAAGCTTGACCCTGGACCCGGAGCCCCGCCCTCCCCCCTCAAGGGTTTAGGGTTTCAAGAGTTGGGTCTCAATGGTTTAGGGTCTCAAGCAGGTTTAGGGCCTCAAGGGTTTAGGTAGCCCTTTGTTTGCATGATTGGAGTAACTAATCCTTTTATAATCTCAATGTTCTGGGATTCTGTGGGTGGGTGGGTATCATATCAGAACCGTAAATATAATTTTACCATAACAATGCTCGATCCGGAGCTGCTGAACTCTAAACCCTAAACCCTAAACCCTAAACCCTAAACCCTAAACCCTAAACCCTAAACCCTAAACCCTAAACCCTCATCTTGTGGTCGGGCGTCTGAGCCGACGCCAGCAACGGCGCGGATCCGCGGATCAGCGAGTCCACAGCTGCCGCGAGATGCCGCCACGGCGCCTGGGGTTTAGGGTTTAGGGTTTAGGGTTCAGGGTTTAGGGTTTAGGTCTTAGGGTTTAGGATTTAGGTTTAGGGTTTAGGTTTAGGGTTTAGGGGTTAGTGCTTAGGGTTTAGGGTTTCGGGTTTAGGGGAGTTTAGGTCTGGGGATTAAGGGGCTGCAGGCTTTAGGTTTCTTGGGCTTTGGATGTTTCGGAAACTTGGGGCTTTTGAGCAGGTAGATCGAAAATTGAGGGTGTAGGGTCTGGGGATATTTGAGTTTTAGATTTAAGTCTTTGGGGTGCAGGATTTGGGGATAAGGACTTTGGGGTTCTGGGAGGCTTAGGACTTCGAGGTCTAGGATGTAGGGTGTGGGTGGGGTGTAGAGGTCTATTCAGTATTGAAGATTCGGGGGTTGGATTTAGTTGTTGAAAGACTCGAAGGCTGATGAAAAGCTTGGGCCAGACTATAGAGACTTCGTGGAGAGCTCATACAAAGCTCCCTATCCTCGAATCTTGACTTCGCCCAAGTTCGCTATCACATGCTGCGCATTGAAGGTTTATCATGTGGT